TGTTTCCTCTTCCCTTTCCGGCTCTTTCGTTGTCGGGTTGGTGGGGCGGGGGGCCGGATCGGGGGCCGGGCCGGCGCCGTCGTGCTCGCTCGCCGCCAGTTTCGCCAGCAAAGGCGTGGCGTCCTCGAGGAAGTCGAAGGGCCGGCCAAAGGGCCGGAGAATGCGCTTGCCGAACTTGGCCTGGAAGGTCGCCATCAGCTCCGACAGGAAAAGGTCCACGCACCGCAGGGTGAGGAACTTGGGGTAGATAGCGACCACGAAGAAGTCGAACTCGTTGTTTAGAACCCACCGCAGCTTGTGGTCGGCGGTGAGGTACTCCCGCTCCCCGATGCGATCCTCGAGGATGATGTCTTGAATGAACTTGTTAATGATGCCGCGACGAGGCGCCTGCTGCGTGCTGTACATCCATAGCACTACACCGCCATTACTAATAATCGATACGGTATCGATCATGACGTGAGTCTTGCGGGTGTCAAGTTTTGGTTTAAGATTTTGTTTATGAACAGAGACCTTAAATCTTTTTTTTTGAGGTGTAGGGGGGGGGGTTCGAGTCGACCAAACAAGTGATAATTGGCTATTCAAAGGATAATGAAATATCATATACTCAAGGAATTTAGTCTGCAGAACACGGATAAACGAAAAAATGGTGTTTTTTTTTGTGTAAATTCAAAACAATTATCCAGCTCTTTCATATCCATAATCGTCCATGAATGCTCGACTATTAAGCGCGAGCCTATTTTACTGTTCCAGACACCGCATGTGGCGATGCGCAATGAGCCTCCGCCTGCCATCTTTTTCGCAGCCACCCGCGTTTAGTCAAATCCATTGAAACCCGTTAACACGAAAGCGTCGTAGTAGGGTTTATTGTGCAATTCATGGCACCAGTTCCACGCAGACGTCAACCGGCCATCGATGCAGCTCCCACCGTCGTCGCCCGAGCCGTCAAAGGCATGCTTGAAGAAGTCCGACAAAATCATCATCTTGAGTTTCTTGTAGTTGCCGTACTTGGATTCCAGAAACTCTTTGAGGCCGGGGTAGGTAATGGTCTCGCCGGCACTTTCTTCGTCTTCGCAGTTCTCTACCCCAAACGCGCGCCGCAGCTCGTGCAGGACGTGAACAATCGGCTGAACAATATGCGGAATGACGGTGTATTTATCAATAAACACCAACGGGTTAGGGACATCATGATCCCCTAAGTGGATCACCTTGATCCCCACCCAGCCACCCATTCGATGCTCGGCGTGTTGGACACACGCCGACATGGTTGAGTAGCTCTTCGGCGCGACGCACATGCGGTGATACCCCTGCCCGGTATTCACAAAATCATAGCGGCGGCCGCCACCCACCAGCATATCCGACTCAGCCGCCTCCCACAACTCAAAGATACGCCACTGCACCGTCTCCCACAAGTACAAGGACTCCCTTACGTACTGGCATTGTGTTTTGTGATTATGAGAAAAGCAAGCCCCACCTCGCCCTGCCGTAATCGATAAATTGTAAGCACCTGAGTTGTTAATGCTCTGAAATTCATCTTTTACACACTCGGAGAGGTACCAGAGAGGCTTGCAGTTCGATTGCAGGAACTGATGAACGTCGTCCATAGAGCGTAGGCAGCGCTCCACCACCTCTCGTTTCCTAGGGTCTTCGCCACCGTATTTGTCAACCACCGCTTTCATCCCCTCCTCCTTTTCTCTCCCCCGTTTACGAAGATACCCCACCGTCGTCATCTCCTTGTCGTTCAGAAGCTCCTCCGCGCCGATTTCCCGCAGTGCACTCCCAACTGTTCGACAAGGAATTACTAAGTTACTTTCAATACCCAGGACGGAAGACACGAGTCGATTTTGTACGTCCTGCAAAAGCATCAGCAACTTTCCGTATTCTTCTCTATGGCTAAAGGGGTTCAGTCGCTTATGACGGCGCAGAATCTCAAAGAGTTCCTCAAGTAAGGGCACTAGCACCGACAGTTTACTCTCCCCTGCCAGCAAGGCGTTCTTAGTGGATTTTGGAATAACATCAGAGGCGACGGCCAATCCCGTGATGATGTCAAACAGCTCCACCATCGCGTGCACCATCCGTTTCCTCGAATCATAGGGTCTTCTGAAATCGTCAACGTCGTTGGTGTATTCGCTTACTTTTAGCGCAGCCACCACGAGCTGTAGCTTTTCCCGCTCTAAGTCAGTTAGACGGAGAAGGCAGGTTGAGTAGTCTAGTACCATGAACCTGAGCGTTTATCGTGTAGCTAATAAAATTAATTAATTCTTATCTTGAAGGCCATGATGAGGTAAATTCATTTACACAAAAGAGAACAAGGGGTAGGTAGGTAAGCCAAATTCTTCTACATTTTCTATCATAGGGATACAGTTAAAAGGATGACACTCGCAGTTTTCACATGAATGACGGCTTGTAGACAAGAATTAGTCATATGTAAATAGTTACATACCAGCACTAATATAAGTGACCGTTTCAATGGAAATCTAATATGAGTCTATATATGTCAACTGAGTCTAGACACCGACCATCTCCCTTATCGAAGTGTATGTCCATTTGTCAAACTTTTTCTTTAAGATGTCGACACAGGAAAGAAGCCAAAATGGCGCTTCGCCCTCCAAATGTCCCGAGTGTGATAAAATTACACTTTTTTAGCGAACTACAAGTAGACCACGTTCAAAGCCTCATTGGTGTGGGCCTTTATCATGGCGTAGGAACGTACCGTCCCCCCCCCACATGATGGAACCTGTGTCCCAGTAATCGCACCCATCCATCGCTCCTGCCATCTATGAATTAGACCGACCTATTGGGGCCTGTTAGAGCGTAGATGGCGGCCCAATGCGCTGTGATAACCCCCGTCGTCCCCGCCACCCACCTCACTTCACAGGAAGACCCAGTGGAGGGCAGGTTGTACAGACAAGGCTTTATGAGGTTGGGGTTCCCTCTATGAGACATCAAGGGGGGGGGGGAGGGGGGCACCTTCAGACGATAGTCGTTTGCGAGATTCTAAAAGGGGCCCGAAGTTGATGGAAAGCGATGGAAGAAAATGTTGGGTCTACCAAAATGGAAACAACGTGCATGGTTATTCGCTATAGTGGGAAGCGGATTAGCGCTAAAAAAGTGGCATTGGATGAACTAATGCGCTATATAACCAATAATTAAGCATTTGTCATTCTAAAAATCTAAGCTGCATTTTGAGGCTAATGTTCTACTAAATAAAGAGAGATGAAGGAGAAATGTTTTTTTGGAGGGTGAACAGAGGAGGAGAGGGCGGAGGGGGAATAATGCATTTGAAGACATGTTGACACGATTTTTCAATTTTAACCATCTCCTTGGTTTTTGATACTTTTTTTTTCCATTTGAAAGAGTTAACATAATAAAAATTTACATATTATTATTTTCTTTACATAAAAATTACCATTGAGTTAGATTAAGAATAAAGCATGCAAATTCATCATATGTAAGAGAGTCATCTTTAGTATTTGCATATTTGCGCACAAGTGCATCAACTTCCTTTTCAGTCAACTCCAAACCATAATGCTCCAGACTAGTGTAGAAATCCTTTACTACATCAATCGACACAGTCCCGCTGTGTTCCACATCCAAAGCATCAAAGATTTCCTGAATTCGATTTTCAGTTACTGGAAGTCCACCAATGTTGTTTTCGAGCTCTTCTGATGACAGGTGGCGGCTGTTGTTATGACCAGGAATTAAACTTTTCTGCATTTTCACTTAAACAATAACAATGAAATTTAGGAATGGCTTTTAGTCGTTCCTTTTTGCTTGAATTGGAGGAAAACTTCAATCTTAAAATAAAAGATCTGTGTGCGATAGAAAAAAAAATAAATTTTATTCTCTTCCATGCAGATAGAAACAAGAATACCCTATAGGGCGCAATAAGCATTTTCATTTCTTCTAATGTTTTTTCTGGTAAACAATGAACTCTGATTTTTCGTACCAATATCATTCGCTTAAAGCCTATAAAGTTCAACCGAAATCAGAACAGAAAAAAACATAGATAAAACTTATATATTGTGTATATATATATAGGAAAGAGACAAGACGTGCACCTTTACACATAACAGACCCGCACACCCATATTACATACATAGAATGACTATATTTCTACTAAGCTATAATAATTATATAAAAAAATCATACAAAGGATACATCATGAAAAGCACTAATTTACCATTGAGCCACAGTTAGAATCAGACATGCAAACTCATCAAACGTGAGGGCTTCTTTATGGGTGTTTCCAAACTTGCGTACAAACCCATCAATTTCCTTTTCACTCATAACCAAGCCATAATGCTCCAAACTGGTATAGAAATCCTTTACTACATCAATCGATGCAGCCCCACTGTGATCCACATCCAAAGCATCAAAGATTTCCTGAATTCGATTTTCAGTTACTGGAAGTCCACCAATGTTGTTTTCGATTTCCTCTGATGACAGGTGGCGGTTGTTGTTATGACCAGGAATTAAACTTTTTTGCATTTTAAAAAGCTTTGTATATAAAATATTTGAAAGCGTCAAAAAAAACACACTAGCAGCAATCTTCTTGAAAATAAAATTCTATCAGAAAATAATAGGGATTGACGTTGAGATCGAGTCAGAAAACCAAGCAAAAAAAAAATGCACGTATATATATTCATAAGTGAATAAGTAGTCAATATTTAATATACACTAAAACACACACAACGATCACTGATTCTGTGCTTGCAAAATACCAGCTGCTCGCACCTCCAGCAGCATTGTTCTTGCTTCAAGAGCATATATTGTTTCCTCTTCCTTTTTTTTACCACGCTCAACGTTAATATATGCTTCATCTTCTTTGACACGAAAGCGCTCATCCAGTAATCGCATTTTGGCATCGTCCAATCTTACTTTGGCTTGCATCGCCAATTTATTTCGAAAGAGGCGCTTGAAAATATTAACCTTGACACCATAGTTTTTGAGCACAAGCTCTTTGTCAAAATCTCTCGGATTTATTTCGAGAACTTCATACGAACTTCCAGCTGCTAAAATACGCTTTGCCTCCTGCTCGACTTCATTTGTTACTACCAGTGTCATCAGGCTTAAGTAAAAACATTGATAACAAATAATTTTTTGTTGAAGAAGTAAAAGGAATAATAGATAAGAATGGATTATCTTTATAGAATTACAAACTCAGTGAAAACAGTGAATCCCAACAATCCCTTAGAATCGATTAGACCAATAGCAAGAACGCATAAAATACTAAAAGCAAGTATTTGTAAAAAAATATTTATTTATATCCACAGGCGGCGAATTAGACAGCAATTCTCTTGTGAATAAAATCCATGGAAATCAAAACACCTAAATGTAGCTGTATTTTTTTAATGTAGGTTGTGCGGCTGCGGCGCGGATCCACCACCCACTGAACCACAGTACCATTACTTGCACAGACCACCACCACAAACACTGACGAGTCTGGCGGAGCGGAAAGAATGGAAATGCAGTTGAACGTTCCCAAAAAAGTCGTACAATAGCGTTTTGATACAAGTTCACGGCAAATAAATATCTGCCTCGGCTCCGCCACAGATGAAATCGCAAGTACCTCATCCTCACCGGCGCTGACGATCCATTGTGAATCCTCGGTAAACTTCGCCGCTGTCGGCGTCGTTTCGTGCGCGCCAGTTATGACACCCAATTCCCTCAACAAAAGTATATTATCACCCGAACGCCTCGTCCGATTATCAGACCGACAGCGGTAGAGCGCCAGAAAGGGTGCATTGCAGGCCACCGCCATAAGACCACTGTTAAAATTCATTTCAAAGACTTGAATACTTTGACCTTTTGTGTAATCCAGGCGAGAGATCACCGATCCCGCCAAAGGATCCCATTGATAGATAACGCCATCATCGCCCGCGCTGAAGAGCTGGAGTGTCGGGTTCGACCCCCGCGCGAACTTTACAAATCGCACCCAATCTGTATGGCCAAGCAAAAAATGCATTGGATTCATCTCGTACGTCCATACGGTCACGACCGCATTCCCCCCGCCTGTCGCGAAATAGGATCCATCTGGCGTGGAGGAAACGCACAAAATACGATACTGTGGGTCACGCGTTAAAAAGTCCGAGCTTTTTTTTTCAATTAGTAGGGATGGGAGTGAGACACGGCATATGCCATTTTCACTTGCAACAATCGCACCTGAAGGCGTCGCTACGATGGCGGAGAGTTCACAGAGGGATGAGTTTGAAATAGAACTCTCATGCCGTATTTCATCTCCATCACAGTTGATACACTGAACAGTATCCTTAGATATCACAACCAGCATATCCTTTGAGCACATGAAGCTTGCAATTACTGACGCGCATAGCAAGTTTACTCTGTTTTTCAAGACAAGACTTCCGACTAACTGTCTTGCGGCTTGATGAGGACTAGGTTTTGCATGCTTGGATGATTTTATGCTGATCCGGTACTCATTTATGGCATTCAAAAAATCCTGCATTCACAATTAATTTCTACAAGAAATCCTTAAAGGCTACATACACATAAACACAAAATAGTGAATACGAGATCTCACAAGTTCGTGCCCTACACAAAAAACAAGGCAAGCAAAATGTGCTATCATATTATACGGAAGCAAACTGAAGAACGTGAGTTTTGTATTCAAAGTTGTTACTTTATGTCATTGCCAAAAAAATAGGCGTTTCACAAAGGGTTTGGTGCTACTATCATCCTGTGATAATGGTTTCAGAGAATTTGCTTTCGAATCAGCTACATCACTCCCATCAACCTTACGTTCTTGCAAAGCCACATATGGCTTGTAACGCATTTGGTCTTGTTCTATATGTGGGAAATCGAATTCTCGAGTTACTAAAGGATCGGTTACTTTCCAACCGTACACCGGACACGGTTCACCGGTTAGGTATGGATGTTTGCTTGGATTTGGCGGTTTGCCTCCTCTAAAATACAATTTGGTCCCGCTTTTATGCCACACTCCTTGAATCATCATAGCTAAAACTCGTGGAACTTCACTTGGTTTACGGCTTAGATTTCCTTGTAGCTTTGACAAAGGGTGAGCGCGGTGAAGACCGATCCCAAAGCCAGTACCATCGGCACCTTGATCCATCCAAACTGGCCATTCATTTTGTTTTAAAATATTCTTAGTAGTATCAAATCGTCCGCGGTCTTGATCATACGGTGTATCGTGGAACGGTTTTGTGAAGGGGTAAACAGTGGGTGCATTGTGGAAAACTCCACGACAAACACAGCGACTACGTGCGACCATTTAAAAGAGGTTCTGTAGTAATAATATTTATTATCTACAGCGAAAAAAGATTGCAGAAAAGAAGAGTGAGTAAAAACTTTATGGATTCAAAAATTATCTATACAAGATTTTAGCATAATATTGAGCCTCAAATGATGATTTTATTTGGAGCTTAATACTGTTTCTTTTATTGTGTATCTACTATTATTCGATTCCGACATATTTTTTTGTTTTTGACATTCTTAAAAATATAGGCTTAAATATTTATTGAATTGATAGAAAATTTAATTGTCAAATTCTCACAGAAGAGACGAAAGAACGATCCTTATTCTGGTAGTCGCTTGCGAGTCAAGATAAAACTAAGGGAATAAAACTTGGAAATGTATCATTTCAAAGGAGGTTTCATCACTAAAGAAGTTTCTACTATTGCGAATGATATATATGGCATATATTAGATTTACAAAGCTCTCTACAATAACATCTTGTAGATTATATTTCACACCTACTCGAGGAATAATAAGTTCATAGCGTATGCCAACCATTATGCTAGTGCACTAACGTATAATGGGTTTCTTTTATGATTGTAGCATGTCATTTTTTTTTTGCACATCTTAAAGTATTCATTTTTCGAAACGTTCACAGTGAGCTCGGAGTTTATCACAGAGTGCGTAATTTACAGTCTGATAATTTTGAAGGGGACAAGACTGCCCACCACTTGGAATGACAAATCCACCATTAAAGTATGACTGATTAGTTATTTATCGCTACATATGTACCTGTTTTTACTGGTTGATCAATCAAAAGAACAGAAAATACAGGGGTTGCTTCTTTGTATATAATCCCCTTAGATGCCATGAAAGTCTATTGAGATATTCAGGAACAAAGTATTATTATTATTATTTTAACATATAGATGTTTATTGGTAAGATACATTTTTTTTAGAGAAATTTATTTCATAAAATAATGACAATCTCAGCCTTAACGACTACGTCATGGTAGAACTTTTTGTCTTCATATAAATTTAAAGACGAGTCATATGAAATAATATGAGGACCCATAAATGCAATTTCCACTTTGAATCATTTTAAATGTAAACATTCACTCCCATGCTTAATGTTTCAGGCTGTGAAACCGCTCCTGAAGATGCGACAAAAAGGGTTTCAAAATTCGAGACAGAAAATAGCATATTTTATTGCCACTGAATAAACATAATCTCTATTAATTACATCGAAAAAGGTATTTTTTTCCCCCAAAACGAACTGGTTCCATTTTAATATTGTATTTAAATATGAAGCATATCCATTTTTTTGTATATTGATATTCCGTTTACTGTTAGAAAATTAAAAAGCGATATTGGTGAACCAATATTGTGGCTAAGCATTAATAGCTAAAAATACAATGTGCACCGCAACTCAAATGATGCTCGACAATTGTAGAGGAAACTTGATATTCGTAAAGTGTATTAGAATATTTTGCACGTACCACACATATGGAGTATGATGCTTTCTTACATTTAACGTAAATTTCTTTATCTATGTAAGCTCTTTATAATCCGCTTGCACCTTTAGCGTGATAGCAATATTCTATATCAGGATACTCATATGGTTCTGGTAGTTACTATGAGAAAGTTATTTTATCGACTTGCTATAGTCTTCATCACATCAACAGTTGAAACCGCATTATTAGCACGTTTGATAGCATACACATTGATTCAGATAGAATGAGATTAAACCGTGCCCATAAAGAGATGGGGAATGATTTTCCCAATTTATGGGATAGATTTCAGGAATATACCCATATATTTCAATGTAACTCAACATGTATAGAGTAGCTAAGGCAATAAAGTTTATATATGAGCATATCAAATTTTTTTTTTTGCACGTCACTAGTAAGATCAAAAAAAAAAAACGGAGGTACATTTGAAGGTAATTTTTCATTTTTTCAGAATAATAAAAGTTCAGAGGGTCTTTTTTTGTTTGTTTTAAGGTTTAGTTATTCATAATAAAAAACTAGAATATCGGATGTGAAAGAGCTTCTATAAATGCATATAGTTTTCCGTCTATTATTATTTTTCCATAAGTACTACTTTTTTCTTTTACAAGTTCATTTATTGAGTTTAAAATATTATCATTAATTGTTATAGGAAGTAAAATAACATCGATGTCTTCGCCTTCATCTAAATGTTGTTTGGGATAAATATTATCAGAACGAGTTCCATCAACCTCGAGTCGTACAAAGCTACAACAAGTGTCACTTAGACCTGAATCAATGCAAGTAGGTGGGGATACGTGTGTGATATTGCTTTCCAGTGCTGTGTAGCCAGTTTCTTCGAATAATTCACGTAAAGCTGCTTTAATTGGAGTTTCATTCTTATCAATGAGACCGGCAGGAAATTCAAGAATGACAGCGTCTAGAGGTGGCCTATATTGTGCAACAAGAATTAAAAATTTTTCCTTATGTTTTTTAAGAACAGCACATATCTCAACTGAATCACAGGGTATGGGAACGGGTGAGCTTTCAAAATCTTCAAAGGATGTATCGCGTGTTGTCCTTTGAACCATTTCCCATTTTTCCGAAATGTTATTATCGGATGCCTTATATGTAATAGAGCATAAACGAATAAATTTTTCCTCAGCTACCTTTTCAAGAGCTTGCCTGTTATAGTGATATTTCATTTTTTTTTTAGATAGCTTTCTTAAATGTATTTTAGTAAACTTTTATTGGCTTAAGAAAAAGAAGGAATCTGCAGTAGGTCCGATGAAAGTCGGTGCATTTGTTCGGTTCATAATTTCAAATTCACTCATATTTTCACCCTCTTGAGGAAAAAATATTTTTAGCCAATTATTTACTCTGCTGATAAGTTAAATCCCATGTATCGTATAAAAGCTTCTGGGCTCGAGTATTCAGTCCCAGGGCAAGGGGAAGCTTGGCGTGAGAGAGAAAAAAAGCAATTTAGTTCCATCTCTCAAAAATAATAAAAAAGAAAGGATTGTGAAGGATAACACAAGTCCCTTTTTATATAATACGTCGAAGAGGTTTTAGCCTGAAAGTCGCCGGGGGAGTTCGCCATACTACCTCGGGGGGCACCCCCCCCAACCGGTGCGGTTCACTACCAGGCGGCGCTCATCTGGATTTGGCCTCAGCGGGGGCACACTTTGCTGTTTAAAATTGTATTTACGCCAGGTAGACCTGCAGTCAAATTTATGTTGTCTGACTAATTCTATATTTATGAGCCTCTTTGATCTGGAGTCTTGGAATTTTTATTGTGTCTGTAATTCTATCCTTTTTTTCAGTGTCCCGCCGCTTCATGTTTTTGTCTGAACTGTCATTCCTTTTAAGAGGGTAATTTGGAGGTATAAGAAAAAATATTTACATGTTTGTTTTTATTTGTGATGTGTCATCTTTTTTCTTCCTTTGCCTAATTGATTTCAAATACTCAAGTAGTGAGTCCGACTTTTCTTTTGACAGCCATTAGTTTAACAGGATGTTTTCCACGTTCAACTTATTAAATAAAAATTTTAATTTAAGGAGTCGAACGGCTACAGACTTCTGTTTAGATATTCATCAGAGTTATAATTGAAGTAGAAATGATTTTTTTTCTTGCATTTTCTATACCCCCTGGTCTTTTAGTTGTTATTTTTTAATACCAGAACTACTATGATTCTTTTTTTCCCTGGTGAGTCGATAATAGAAGTTTCTAAGTAGGTCACTTTGAACGACTATTTTATGGGATAACACTTTTTTTAAATATTTATAACGAGTTTTTTTTTCAAGATGTTTGAGGTATATTTTGTGAGGCTCTGGTTATTTTATTTATGTATGGTTTCCATGCCATTTCTTTTTAATAATAATAAAATATGTACAGAAACATTTTTAACTGCTTCTTGGCATGTTACATGCTATTTTAATTAATATCTGACGTTACCTATATAAGCATATATTTATATTACCTTTGCATCTTTTTAACATTCAAATTCAAAAAAATATAACAATTATATATATATATTTATATGTATAGAAACTAATTAACCTTTTATAAAGTTGATCTCGACAATTTTTATTTGAATACCGAATTTATCTTTCTATTAAACATTTAATTTGCTAGATAGATTTTTTGTCCAGGAGATCTTCTAAAACTAAATATCTTTATTAATCATATTCAATTTTGACTATTAAATTGTTTATTTCCAATTTAATATAGTATTAACTTTAATTATTTTTTACTTATAAAACTTTCTATATGATTTTTTGTTTTTTTCCCAGAATATGCTGAAAACCTTTTTTTTTCGAGGGTAGAATGCATTTTTATTAAAATATTATTTTACCATTTGAAGTGTATTTTTTTTAAAATTAAGTGTAAAACATTCTTTCACTTAATGTGAAATATAATTAAAACTGTTTGAAAAGTTATACTTAATTATATTTAGTATATTTTTATCTTCATTAAATTATTATAAAACTCTATCTCTTGGTAGATTTTCCACAATGTATATTTTTTCTCAATTTTATCCATAACCATATATTATATTAGTAATAGAATTTTTATCTAGTTATAAAAATATCTAATATATTTTTAGCGTTTAAGCTCATTAGTATTATCCATATCATTTAATAGTTAATACTACTATTATCCATTTCGAATATGTTAATCAATGAAAAGACTTTTTCTAGGCTTTGAAATTACACAAAGCATTACTTTTCTATATTTTTCAACGCATAGTAGCAAGCATGGCTCATTGAGTCCTGTTGAGATGATTCCTGTCTTCCGCAATTCTGAAGAACATGCTAATAGTGAGAATGATTTAGTATCATCTGTTAAAGAAAATTTGAAAGATGATGAAATCTTAGAACCCTTAGCAAAAAATTTGCGCAATACACCATCAACTACGCCTTACAGGGTAATTTGGTATGCCCATGATGGTGTTACACCAGCAAAAAAATTCGTGTACTGGGCGTGTCGGCGTTTAAGGGAATTACCCTTGGACTGGCAAGGTTATTATCGTCGTATGCTTCGTCAGGAAGTTAGCGCTGCTCGCTTTGTAAATCAACCATGGGACTGCTTTATGATGGTTGTTGATGGCTATGTGAAAGCGAAATGGGTGCTTCGAAAATATGATGTAAAAATTGATGAAAGCTTGATACAGAAGCCATACAATAACTTCTGGGAAGAAACGACTCATGAGGAGCGTGTATGGGCTCACCGTAGGTCACTGCAAATGAAAGAACTACAAGCCTTGCAGAGAGATGAGGATGAACTTATTTTTGGTGCAAATATGATGGACAGAAGAGAAGTAACATATAATTCACTAAAAAACGTCCAAACTGGAATGCAAGGAGGAACTCCTGTTCATGCACACGATATGCCTTCTCCGACTGAGGCTGAATTATCAATGTCTCCTATTGATGAGGAAATTAGCAGTGCTTTAATGGGAACTATAGACGACGACAAACTTTGGAATCCTGTTTTACGCTCTAGAATTCATACTCAAAAGCAGAGAGACGAAGTCAGCTTATACAGTTTTGAAGATGAAGATGATGGTGATTAGACCCAAAATTTTTTTTTGTTTGATAAAATCTGTAGTGAGTCATCAATTATATCGAAAATTGATTTTTTATTAATTACCAGAAATTACGTTTTATTTTAAGAACATATTATCTTAAATTTACTCTTTAAGATGGTGTGTCAATATGCTATTATTAGGGCTATACTATTACTTTTTTTTCTTTTATTTTAAATACTTGTAATAAAAGGTACACGCTCATTTAAATTTATACGAAATGGCTGATTTACTTAGTTTGAAAGAAATTACAAACCTCAGAGAAGTATTTTCTGCGTATGATACAGATGGTGATGGAAATATCACCCCAGAGGATTTAGACCAAATATTTGCTTCAATGGGGCAAAGTGCAAGTTCGCGAAAAAATACGCAAAAATCAGTTGATGCGGACGCCGATTCAAATGGCATGATAGATTTTCCCGAATTTCTAACTATCATAGCAGTTCATCTTAATGATCCTGAAGAAAAGGAGTGTCGATTAAAACGAGTTTTTAAGCTTTATGATTTAGGTAACACTGGTTACATATCCGCTACAAACTTAAGACTTGTGATGGAACGCTTAGGTTGTCCCTTAACACCCGAGGAGGCATTCGAAATGATTAATGAGGCAGACACTGATGGTGATGGAAAATTAAATTTCGAAGATTTTAAGAGAGTTGCTGCTGATGAGTGGAATTTCTAAAACTATTTTTACCAAATTTACTACTAGTTTATCCTTCCAAGTTTTATTATCCATGTATAGGCCAACTTTCAATGATATGGTACAATCCCTTTTCCAAAAAAGAAAACATAAAAAAAAAAATTAGCATAAATCAATATCTATGATAAAAGGTACTTATATATATCTTATACCTTTTAATTTTTCTACCTTATATTTCAATCTATAAAAAGAGATTCTGAAAGTTATTGCAGTAAAGTTTTATTTCCACAAGGAACTCATTTCTCAATGATACACATTTTTTTGACCTTCATGCCATGCATAAGTGTTGGGTAGTTGTCGTTAGCAACACTGGTTGGTAACTAGAAGGATAAAAAGGTTTATTGCATCATATCCAAATATAAGTTATACCTATTTATTTTACAAAATTCATTTAGTAGGACTAAAAAATGTAGCCCAGGTTGACACTAAATAGAAATAATAAAAGGATGATGTGAAATGTATTTTTTTCAAATATCCTTCATTTCTATGTGAAGGGCCAAACACGGTTGGTATTCCGTCATTTTCTTTGTGACCGTCCTCTAATAATAGCTTTACAGGGACATTTAGTCTTACTGTAATAAAGAAGCTTACATGTGGATGATGTAATGACTTCATTCAAGGGAGGACAGCTTCAAAATTTTTATTTTGGCCGAGCTATGGTTGAGATTAATTTTTTTGATTGCTCATTCATGAGGGCGCTATCAATATTGTTTCCCTTGAGGCACAAGGCAGTCTTTGTCTAGACGCAGGCTTAAACTTTTATGATCATATATTTTACACAAAAGTCAACCTCTATTGTTGCTCAGTTTTCACGGAATTCATAAATATCAGAGGAAAATTTCTATCATAAAAGTGAAAAAATCAAGCCGTTTACAATATTTTAAAATTCCGAATTAAAGTTACACGCTGGCCTAAAACAAGAGATCAATTGTACATATTGATAGTCTAATAAAAAGGGAAGTGGAGCTGAATCTTGTGATCTGCAATTTCATCTGGTTTAAAACTATGATTATATATTCTATGTGTTATTACTAAAAGAGCTCAAAGCATTGTAACTAAGCAGTATTTTTCATTTTCTTATTTTTTTTTATGAGGTAAATATTTATTTTAATAACTCATCATTTGTCCTAATGGGCCTTCCTAGTTTACATTCGATGCATATATTTTTATCGATTCATTCCATTTTTATCCCCAATAAAATAACAGTACACCAAATTCGAAACTGTATAACGTAAGAAATATATGTACACATAACCATATTGCGAATATATCGTGCAAAAATATGGTGAAAAGTGACAAATATCGGTCCATGGATGCATATTCAGCATTGGAACTATGGAATTTTTGATTTATCTTCAAAGGAAATAAGAAAAAATATATAGGCCAAATTGTGGAACATTTTTTGTAAAATGCGTTTTCATATTTAGTTCTCTGTTATTCTCAATGCAAAATGAAAATCCATCCATTTTCTCAGACTAGTGTATTATATTATATTCAAAGAATGTCATTATCATAGCAGAATGAAGAAAATATTACCAGAAAATAGTTCACCTTCGAAAGCATCGTCCACTCTAGAGGAACTTCGTCAATATAACAGCTTTCTACAAGCTGAACATGAATTTCTTGAGTATGAGGTGAACAACAACTCGGAAATGTTTTCACAACTAACCTCACGACGACGAAATGTAATTTTTGAAGAGTACCAGCACCTCAAGTTGTATTTGGAAGCGTTGCAATTAGGTGATACAAATATCTGTCTTTCCATTGAAGAGGAGCTACTACGAAAACATATGAACGAAAAGAGAAAAGCCTCAGAGCTGGAAAGTTTACTTCACAGTGTTCGTGCTGAGGTTCACAGTATTTTAGCACATAGTGCTTCCAAATAGTAAAGAGTTACATGCAAACACACACACACACAAAACTATGTCACTCTTTGTAATATGACGTGCTTCATGTACTTGAGGAAGATGCATAATTTTCCTTTTTCAATATTCATGATATCATCAACAACTGTCACAGTGAGTAAACCATGTTTAGTTTTATTGATGAAATGAATAAACCACTTTTTTTAATCTTCCTCACGTTGCCATTATAAGTGGCTTAATTTTACCACAGGTTTACTGAGTGCAAGAACCATTATTATATAATGTCAATAAAGGAAGCACTTGCAGCATATAAGGTGCCTGATAACATAGATAGGAGATGCCTACCTGAGACTGTAGCGCGACCAATTTCGTCCAATTATTATGTACAAACAAGTTTCTGGCGTCTATGGGATCCAAGCCTAGTGAGTACGTTCAGTGAGTCTTGTCGAAAGGTGCTTTTTAAGAATAATTACCATATTCTATTATGCCACCGACGGATAATTGTCGTGGACAAGAACCAGCAGCCCTTTTCCTTTCCTCCTTTCAGTTGTGCCATTAATGATGTACATATCGAAAAAGCTAGCAGCCGATGCTTGCTTGTAGTCGTTGGCCTGACAGAGGGCGTTTTTACTGCATTAGTTCGCCACGAGGATCATCAGTATTATGTCAAAAAGACATTTTTCACTCCCACCAGCACATCAATCTCTAGAATTCACCGCCTGAAAAAAGACCTTTTTGGTCTTTGCTATGAAAACTGTTCCGTACAAATTTTGTCTCTTCAGCTATTAGGTGACGAACTTGATGTTTTCTTATACAAGGGTATCCGAAACTGGTATGCAATAGGCTTAAGCCTTTTTTCACGAAAGATCCACAGGGATAGTCTTTTTGATCAAACTACCGGGTACATGATGGTGCTTTCAGACAAGGACCTTTCACTATGGACGTGTGCCGAGGATGGAGAATTTCATGTTCAATCTTCCTTGGACTTAAAGAAAGAGGCAGTGGCTGTCCTCCCTAGCAATGTTAAGGGAATTGTGGCGGTAGTGGTTCTGAGCTCTGGCGACCGCGTACCTGTATCCGTACACCAAGCTTCTAAGAGGCCTCGGGTGGGGCTGTTAAATTCCTATACTCTTTCTTTGGAGGCTGAGAAAGTGGTAAAACTACCCGCAAGTATCAGCGTTATCAGTGTTTCTCACGCGTGCACTGGTGCCAACACTATTATTATGTATGATGAACTAACGATGTCCTTAATCACAATAGTTCAAAATGTACAACCTTTACCCCTGCATGAACATTCAAATTTTCGTGCTGATGTTGTTTCCCAAATTAACCTCAATGAGAAAGCATGCAGTCTGAGTTTCGAAGGGAATCCAGGAACTTCTGATCGTGGGATATTTTGGGTTTATAACGATCGCATGTCCATTATGGGCCTGAAGCGAGTATCATTGAGCAAGTTAATGAGGGAAAAGTATTTAAACTCAAAAATAGAAGGTGAGAAGTTGCTAGCCAAGCTAAGTCCTGAATATTATGCTGAGCTTCTAATTGATGCGGCGCTAGGTGGGTTTCCATTAGAGAGGGTATCGAGCAGCTTGAATGCTCTTTTACTTCCCGTTGTAAAGAATCAATCCACTCTCCGTCTTTCCCCGGCTGTAATTGGCTTTACCAACTTCATGATAAGAGAGGTGGACAAACTAAACGAGATTTGTTCCTCCTCCTCATATTGGGAGCAGATAAATGATATTAATCGGTCGCGGCAGCGTCTATTACACGGTTGCACTGCGCTTTCCACATTTCTTCTTCAGAATGGATGGCTAGACAGCACCACCGATCTTTCTCTAAAGTGGTCCTGTTTTGAGGCCCATAGCCATCATTCTATCACGGAACGCACCGCCATCGACGCCCAGGCCCAGTATCTTTGTACCTTATTAGACCTTTCCAAGCACGCGAGCATTCTCGCTTGGCTCTATATGCTTCTCATCGAGGCCGGTAAGCCTGAGTTGTTCAACCGCACGCTCTCGCAATCCCTCCGCGATGAAGATCCCACCGAGTTTGAGGTGCGCTACACACTCGATTTACTCTCCTGCCGGGATCTCAGGCTCACGGAAAAGCTTTTACATGAGGTCCAGTTATTGCCACCAAAAGCACAGCTGGCGGTGCGCATCCACTCTTGGGTTCAGCGTGGGAAGCCAGTGGAGGCCATGAAGGCGGCAAAGGAGCATGCAGATGTGATTCGTAAGTTTGGGTTGTTTGAGTATGTGTGTGATTTGCTTGAACAAACTAACGCGGAGGTTTTGCCGACAGCCCACCTCCTACTGGATCATTACCGCTCGGATCCAAGAGGTTCCAGCAAACTACTCACGATGCTTGAAAATCTTTCATTGTCTGGAGGTCGTTTAAAGCAAAACTTAAAATACATCTTTGACTCAAACGATCAGTCTCACCTGTGGGACGTTATCTTTAATTGGATGGAGCAACACGATCTCACTGATGAACGCATTGAAATCTTTGCTTCATTAGTCGCCGAGTATCGAAAAGATATTAATTTTACTGGTACTCCAACAGGTCGTTTTTTCTACTGCTGGAGCCAAGAAGGACAGGGGAATCATCTCGTTGCCGCAAAGTTGTTCGGTGAGCTTGCCCGTTCATCTCACGTGGTACCCTTATCTATTCGTCTCATATGTATTCAACATTCCCTTCAAAATGCCTCATCTGATGTGGATAAGCTCACGCAGTTCCTTTTACTCCTCCAAAAGCAGTTGATCGAGTTATTGAACAGGCACCTGAAGAGCCGTACGGGTGAATTTGTTTGCACGAAGGCCGAGATTGAGTCTGATATATCTTTACTTCAGCAGCAGTGCTTGGAGGAACGGAACCTATTTGAGATTGCTGGGCGTTATCAGGCGCTGGGTGGCGCCAGTGTACAGCTAGATATCCTTAAAATCAATTCGGTGTACCCTGAAGAGGTTGTTTCGTGTGCAGTCCTTGGCATGATCACGTTCCTGAAAGCGGTAGGGTTAACTGCTGAGGAGGCGGCTAAACGGGTACTGCAAGAGTACTTGCCGTCTTTTCAAGAGCGCTTCCCGATTTATCAGATCATACTTTTTCTTTCATTTGACGGGAAAGAAATTGGGGAAATTGTCAAGACGTTACTTAGAAACGAGGTTTCCCCTATTGCTATTTTTGCTGCGCTATCACGTTTAGTGTATGATCATGGGAAGAAAAAATTTTCTCTCGGTAACACAGTGCAAGAATTGGTCTTGATTATTCAGCGTATTCCAGTGGAAAATCGTTCGGTCTACATTTCACACCTCTTACAGTGCATACGAGGTATCTTGGTTAGGGAGTACCATGCAGTTGAGTTAACTCAATCTGATATGGTTGCTCTAAAGACAGCCGAAGAGACACTTATAAATATGCCATAAAAGAGATTTTTCTAAGGCACGGTTGACATTGTAATCAACCAACACGCATCAGTTTTCCCACGTTTTGTTTGTCAAGATCTTTCGAATCTGTTTGGGCAATGAAAAGGCTTTGATACGAAGGCTTTTTTATCCAAACTTTCAGAGTATAAGATTGACTTACAGTAATTGTTTGAGCGTTAAAAGGAAAAGGGCTCTGGGGTGGGAAGATCTAGCGAACATAAGACAGTACAGAAGTATAACTTTTTCTATCATTATGTGTGTGTTTTGCTGTATTTATTCGAAAATTATATTCATTAGTTCCCTTTTGAGGCTAGCTTTCCATTTTTGTGTTTGTTGCCAAGACTCAGGAAGGAAATAAGTGCAAAGTTGATATTTCGACACAGAATTACATGTTCGAAATTACAGTATAAAATATCAAATTGATATTAAAACGTACCTAATCTAAATAGTAAGCGAATATTAGTATGCTTTTCCGGACGATCCCATCTCGAGCGGTTCGCCCGTTAGAAGAACCGCTCTCCCACATCAAGCGCGTCCCAGCCCCTCGCGTCGAGCGGCTGCATTTCGCCGAGCGTGCGGTTAAATGCACATCATCCAAACCTTTTTTCTTTTGTAGTGAGCGTCTGTTGTGTTGCCAGGCCGCGGGAGCCTACGCCGCGGTGACCTCCGAGGTGGGGCCCTTTTCGCCCTCGCTCCCCCCCCCTTATTGGGAGTTGAGGACGAGGCGGTCCTCAACCCCACCCCAGACCTGCCTCCTTCCCCTTCCTCTTCCCCTTCCTCTTCCTTGTCCTTTCAT